CACCCTGCAACTAGTCACTTCTCTCAGACAAGAATGTGCATAATGAATAAAATCTTCAGCGCAAGATCTTGGCTATCTTGCTGTGTATTGTACTCACTGTTTACACTCTCAGCTCTTCACTGTATTAACTGTTTATCTACACACGTGTGGGTGACAGAAACACTGCAGATATTAGCATTGCTAGGATCATATCTACTGATGTTACCAGAAACAGGAAAAGAGAATGCTACTGAATTGTTTCTATCCCCTGTTCTCAAATAAAACCAGTTTTCTATTGTTAGGAGCAATTACAAGAGATCTGAATAAATTAAAAATTCCCTGATGGAGGCCCTGTTACTGACAGCTAACTAAGTTAATTTAATAGTTATGTTAACTTAGATAACTGTAAGAAAAAGGAATTTGTGTGTAAATTATGAGTCAAATATGAGAAGTATATATATACTTGCATGTATGTGTGTACATATATTCCTACTTATATTTGCCATTCATATATTTTTTACAGTCTTTTCATACTCATTGTCTTTTAAAATACATACCATTAACCTATGAGCCATGCATTACCAGTGTGTTTAAAATAAATGATCAGGAAGTTAGTTCACTTACAGTGAGGATCAGGGGCCACTGTAATTCAGGTCTAATCCCAGTAATCCTTCTAATAAAATTATTGTGAGGCTTTTTTCCCCCAAAGTCAAAGGCAGGATACTTGGTTTTATTCTGGTACATAATATTTTGAACTGGAAATCTACCAGAAACTCTGGAACATCTTGTTACTGCAGTTATACCCCAGCTGCCTTCATTATTAAACTTTTTATGAGTACACTTTTTATGGCCCCTTCAGTAAATCTTTAAAGATACACAAAGAAGAAAGAGGGTAGGATAACTTCAATTCAAGTTTTGTAAAAAAAGATTTATTGCTTGTGATACCATAATCATCATATTATATTACAGGCACTATTTTTTTAATTCATGTTTTCTCCTCAAGGGGAATAAATTCATGCATTACCTATAACAAGAAACAGTGTAAGTAGGAATTATATATATGTATATATATATCAGTATAATAAAACACTATATTGAACCATACAGATTTATGATTAAAGCAGGTAGAGATTATTAAATCAAGCACATTTTTTTGGTATGGGGTGTTTTACTTTCGATTTTACAAAGAAAATGTCCTCAATTGGGAAAGGTTCATAAATAAAAACAGAATTTAGAAGCAGATGCCAGCCTACAACCTCTAAATTCTCTCCTTAGATCATGTTATACCATGAGAAGTTGATAGATTTGGAAAGCATTCATTTCCATAAAGAACTGCTATGATAGGGCTGGGATTTATGGGGATCTGTCATTAGCTTTGACTGAAGGTCAGTATAAGAAACAGTCACATGAAAGCTATGACTGCATTTTTCTACTTTATTATTCACACTCCTTCTATAAAGCTTGGAATGAAGACTCTTTTTCTATTTCATGCTGCACAGATTTTGATCTCTTGAGAAGTGGTATTTCTGTACTTATGCCACCATCAGTCACATTTCCCTTTTCTGCTTCACTGCCAGAAAGAACAGAGTAACACCCAGTCCTGTATGAATGGAAATAGTCCCATTTTCTTATCCTTAGCTTATCTTTTTTATTTCAATAATGGAGTCACGTGCTCTACATTTTTGTCGTAGCACTGCCTTGGGTGGCTTTTGAAGAGAGGCTTGAGTATCAAACAAATAGCTAAGAATAAAAACATAAGCCAACTCTTCCAGTAACCAGACAGTATGTTCCCGACTGATAGGATAGCCTAGACCAATGCTTTTGTAGTCTTTGTGGGGAAAGCCTCGAAATGCAGGAGTTAGGGAAAGCTCAGTGGAGAGTGGTTGGAAGGTGAGGCACCAGGAATACCACCTTAAGGATGCTGTGCATCCATCTATTTATTAATTTCCTGGTACATGGAGATCTTTAAGAATGCACTGCCTAGGAAATGGTAGGGGAATGGATCCCTAAGACAAACAACTACAGCAAGATTGAAGAACTCTAGGATGATCTGCCCTCTCTCCCCACTAGGAGGAAGCTGAGCAGTTTTTTTCTTTCTATTGCACATGCAAAATATGAGACAGGAAAGAAAAGAGGCCATTTACAAAGAGAAGTAGCGCAAAATAAGCATTCTTCTCTACCATGATCTAAGTATGTTGTAAATACAATAGCCACACCCCATGTATGTAATGATGGGCAGTTATACAGGCTGCAAGTGCAGTGTGCTCTTAACCCAGGTAGACTGTCTTTCATTAGAATTTGACTTAATTTTAGTGAAGTAAATTTTGTTCCACAAAGTACAAAATAATGTAGTATATCATCTTTATTGTCTGACATTACAGATTGGTTTAACACTTTCCTTTTTACACACCATGGGAATGAAGAATAAAAATGTGTCCAGCATTTTGTTACACACAAACACACAATGAATAATAGAAAAAAGAGCATACAGAAAAATTAAAAGGTATGTTGAAAGTGGACAGGCTTTAGTTCTAAATGATCTATGGATATAATGTGAAACTTTAAAAAATAATACTAGCAAGTGGGATATATTGTCATACACAGTTTGGTACATGCATTGGACATAAAGCTGCTTTTGTTTTAAGTTGATTTAATATATATATTTTTGAGTATGCTGCTCTCTCTGCTGGTTTCTGAACCTGACCACAGGTCCAGAGGCAAGATTTCAGTGTAGAACATGTTTAGAGAGTCACATTGTGCTAATGACCTTATGAACTTCTTGGTGACAAGAAAAAGATCAAAAAGTACCTGTTCTTTATAGACCAACTAATGGGATTCTTGTGTGTGTGTGTGTGTGTGTGTGTGTGTGTGTGTGTGTGAAGATTCCCAAAAGACAAGAAGTGGGCAATTAAATCCTTCACAAGACTTAGCACATTTTGGAGAGCAGTGGGAGTATCAGATCTAATAATTACAGGATGCAAAGAGATTCAGTTGTCTGATTCTTATAAAATGAGCTCCCATATCTTTTCAGTTAAATGGAAACTGAATCACATCTGCATTGAGTGAGAGATGGTGGGTTTTTGCTTCTGGATTCTTGGCTTTTGAGGTAACATTGAGCTCAGGGTAACTCTCTAGGGACTGTCTTTTTATTAAGAGAAAGGTCTGAACCAACAACTCAGAAAAGCATAAAACTGGCTTGAAACATAACCCTGGGGATCTAAAATGTGTCCAACACATTACAATTTGTGTCCACTTCTAAAACATGTAATACATCTTCTGTTGGGGGCTGACAGCAGTGATTGTTATGAAAGATGCTAAATTTTATCATCTCAATTCAAGCACTATGTTGTAAAGGAAGCAAATTAGTATGATTTTTTTTCTTTCCAAACTGAAGCATGAACATACATTAGAGGCAAAAGCAATGAGAAAAACAGCAGGATGGCAGGCCCCTCCACTGTTAGTTAAGACCTGCAGTAGGGGACATAACTTACTCCCTGCTTCAGTTCTTCTTCCTACAGAAAGATTGAATCAATAACAGTTAGATTACCCAGGGTTCCCATAAGAGCAAGAACACAGTGTTAAGGAAGACAGGATGGGGAAACATGAACATAGCTTTGAAGGCAGGCCCCGGTTTCTGCCATCTCAGTGACTATACATCCAAGCCTGCTTAGGTGTTTGAATCTATAGACCCAGTCCTCTCCTCCATGTATCCAACCATCTCAATATCATCTGTCTCATTTTCCCACTATTTGTACATTTTTGTACAAAGGCTGTGCTCAGTTGGGCCATGTTGATACCAAGATGACTGGTGGTCCATTGCCCTGCCCTACCCTACTCTACCCTACCCTACCCTACCCTGCCCTACCCTATTCTATTCTTTTCTATTCTATTCCATCCTATACCTATGGTGTCAGAAATTATAGAAGCACCAGCAGAAGATGCTTGTCAAAGTGTCTTGTCTGCCATTAAAAGGAAAGATGGATTCAAGATTCTTTCTTTGACACACTTGTAAAGGAAAGCAGAAATGAGCTTTTTTATTGTTCTGAATAGATAGTTAGCTAGACACAGCAGCAGGTTATTAACAATCCAGTCCTGTCTTCTCACCGATAGTACAAAGAACAAAAACAAAATAAAAACCAATCAAATCCAACTTGAATTCTACATTTTTAGAAAAGTAAATTCTGTTGAACAAACAGCATTCTTCAAATGGATTATTAAAGGGGACACCAACAGGGGGAAAAGTTGACTAAGGAATAAAATAGAACAAATGAAACAAAAGAAAATATTACCACTGCAAGGTCTGGGATGAAAGTCTTCAGAAAATATTTTTCAAAAACATGAGACAAAGAAGGAAAGACAGAAAAAGAAAGGAAGAACATAAGTAAGGAAGAGGAATAAAGCAAAAGAAAAAAAAGGAAGAAAAAAAGGAAAAGATAGAAGGAAGAGGAGGAAAGGGCAGGGCAAAAAACAACAAATGATGGTGAGTTGGTGATGTGAGGGATCCATGATTGAAAATCAGGATATCCTGTCTCACCCTGAGCTGCCTGGGGACGGTCCCTTCACTATTCTCCTATAAGAAGTTTCACTTCCTGCTTGTGGCTCTTTGTAGGTCCAATCTACACTAGTTCATGCTTGTTTACACATGGCACAGAACACTCATGCTCTGGGCTGACAATGACATTCTACTACTGCTGACTCAGTACTTTTTTGTACTCAGGTGAAGGCTTTCTTACAAGTGGAATTCCACTCCCAATAAAAATGTATTATTTATAGAGTCTTTTATAGTTAACTTTGTTAAATATGTTATCTTGGAAGATTCAGGAAATATTCACATTTACAGTTTGTATTTGAGACCCACAGAAGTCGTGGGACTTGTGAAAGCCACACAGAGGGGATACATTTTTTAAAAATTGAAATGAACAAAAACACATATAATAATTGGAAAAGCCATTGCACATTATGTGCAAAAAATTAAATGCCACAATAGAAGATATAGGAAACATTTATTTGAAATGTCTTACCTTTAGTAGCTTCATGAGGCCTTCTAACTGGACCATTAGCTCTCTCCGACTCTCCTGGAGAGCAGACATTCTCTGTTCTAGCTCATCCTTGCGCTGTCTATGAAGGAAGCAGCTCTCATCAGAAACAGTATTTCATTCACTGAGCTAATCACATCCTCCAGTTCTGTGGGACTATCGGCCTACCTGGAAAAGGGCATGGCCAGGTCTTTGACAGGATTACCAGGCCTCCACCATCTTTAAATGAGGTGTACTCTTAATTGTTAAACAATTAGACTATACTTAAACAAAATTAAAGTCCTTTCAGACATTTCTATCCTTCTATCCTGAATTGCTTAACCATGCAATGAGCTATTCTCTGCATACTGACAGTATAGCAGGCTGTGTTCTGTGACACTGGTTCCAACAATCAACAAAAGCCCAATTGTCACTGAAAAGTAACAATCTTCCACGTTTGTAAATTCACAGAAAATAGGGTTTGCCTTTGTATTGGGAAATCTGACTTGAAAGTATACATTTTAGATCACTTCCATCCTCTGTGAATTGATACTAGTGACAGATGGGGATCCTATATGCAGTGGAGTGCCCGTTAGAAGTGAGATATTAATGGTGCATACTTATTACCATCAATCTAAATTATTTGGTTTTAATTTGTTTTCATAGTGTGATGCCAGAATAAGGAAGTTCTCTCTATAATCATCCTATAACTGAAAAGAACATAGAGAATTTGTTTGTCTTGTGGAATGTCTGTCTATTCAACTGTCAGCAAGAATGTAAAGCTCTAAGGACAATCTACCCTCTATCATTTTGTTGACACTAACAGGTACCAAGAAATCTTTAAAAAGGTAAAGAAATTAAGCAGTATGGTAAAGTATATTAATAGCTCACATTTCCCTGGTATACTCATACTTTACAAATTGATTTCAACTCCATTATTTTTCAGGGACATTAGTGAATAAGTAGTATATACATTTTTGTGTCTTGTCCCAAAGGTTTTTGTTTGTATGTGAAATATTAGTACTTATATTTTAAAAACATGGAGATTCTTTGACCATATATATATTCCATGTGAATGGAAATCACTCATTGACACAGACATATTAAGAGGAGCTACAGAGGGACAATGACATGAAAAATTGACAATATAAAAGTGTCATTCTGAGTTAGGCTTATGACTCATTCAGCTGAAAAATATTTATAGGAGGACAGGTTAGGGTTATAAATGAAACATTCTAAATTTGCTTTTTTATAGGCATACCGTACAATGAATTATGAATCTGAAATTTATAAGCATCTCAATGCTTTCTGAATATTTCTAGAGTTTTCCCTGCCACTTACTCCTGAAGCAATTGTTCCTTTAATTTTATGTACAATCCTCTCTTTTTCTGAATCTAGAGGATGAGGAACGCCATGGTATCTTATTATTCATCTCCTTGGGCTGAGGCATTTTAATTTTGTAATTGTTGCCCTACTCAAAAATATTCCTCAAGGACAAATCTATGAGTTGTCTTTCTTTGACTATATCTGCCCATGGTGTCCAAGCACATTTACAGGAAGCCCTGGGACAAGAGTAAATCATACTTCTAATTTAGTTCCAGTTTTTTTTTCCTTTTTTTTGGCATTTTTTATTGTTATTGTAAAGGTGATGTACAGAGGAGTTACAGTTACATAATACTACTCTAGAATTTTTGGCCTTTGGGTACAGGAGCTCCTTGAGACAGCCAAACCAAAATGCTAATGTTGCAGTTAAGAAACACTCAGACACAAATACAAAACACATACTTAAAAAGTTAACTAGTAGTAACTTAGACTACTCAATAATGAACCAACTTTATTGTACTTTCGTCTTATTAGAGTGAGGTCTTAAAGCAATGACACTGAATTTAATTAGGAAGATTTAATAGTGTCTGTTCAAAATCCTCTACAGCTGTGTTTTGTACCAGCAGTTACCTAATGTGGGTCCAATGACAAGTATGTGGTAAAGACAGGAGAAAATAAACATTAGTAGTATTTTTTCCCTACAGAGACGTATGCCCATTTCTATTCTGAAATTCTCTAAGATTGTTTGTTTTTATGTATTTATTTTCTGAGCCAATCTCGCTCTCCAGCTCAAGCTGCTGGAACTTCCTAAACAGCTAGGGAGACTTGAAAATTGAAATTCTCCTGCGTTAGCTTCTTGAGTGCTGGGGTTATTGCTGTGTATGTCATGCCTGACCTTGTCAGGTTATTTTTAATTTTGAGTGTGTGTTAGAACCTGCTTTCTTTTAGTATAGTGCTGGGACAATTGGCAACATTTTAATATAATTTATATATGAGATAAATGTATGTCTATGCTATCTGAATTCGAAGATGGTATCATGGTAAAGAAGCAAAAAGTTTATATACATGAAAACTTAGAGGTGACGGAGAATTGCGTCTGAAAGTTATACTTAAATTTATAGTTCTATTTCCTTATTTATAAAAGGAGCACGATAATAGTGCATATTTTCTAGCAACTCTTTGGGTCAGTAGAGGTATTCACGTGTCAGACTAGCTCAGAGAAATGCCCATGTGGGCTATAAACATCGCTTTCAGATTGTTTCTTTGTGTTTTTTTTTTGTGGCTAAAATAAAAAGGGAAACATGATTATTTAGAAAGGTCATAGAATTGTAAGATAACCATAAAAGTATACATTCATGAAAAACAAAGATCTTTTCCTTTTCCTTTGTCCCTAAATGAAAGACATTTTTTCTTTTCCTTTTCCTAAGTTGGGCTCAGAGAAGAGATCTCTAGGGCAGCTACAATAAGGAGCTCCTGTGGATGTTGTTTATGTGACCCAAGGCCAAAGGACACTTTGCAAGAGGCCACTGTTTTGGATTTCTTGTCTTGAGATGACAAGAGGATAAAACATAGCATACTCACAACAGGGTTTCTTAATCTGGGATATAATGTATCTGTGAAATCCTCCAATTGGGAAAATATTTGGTGCTGAGAATATGATTTATCAGTATCTAGAAAGTTACCCTTCAAGGGAGTGTATTTCTTCTTCCTTCAGGCACAAGAAACATGCTTAGTATATAGAGGCCGGTAAAAAAAAAAATCAGCTAAGTCACCAGCTGAAAGCCAGGAACAATCACATAGAAGTTCTTAGCAAATCCAGCCTCCTTGATATAGCCTTGGTCTTGGGCCATGGGATGCCCACAATGTAGGGTGAGAAGGGTGGTTAGAACTTTTCAGTGTGTCCCAAGACAGCTTGATGAAGGAGGAAGGAATATCAGACAGAAAACATATCACCATGGACCAGAGCACATTCACATGCTTTCCTAGACATTTCCTAAGCATCAAATGGAAAAAAAAATACTTTCAAAGGCAAAAGTTACCTTGAGGTGTGTGTGGGGGGGAATCAATGAAATGCTTATGAAAAATCCCTAGCCATTATCCTTCTGAAAGAGAATAGGATGAACAATGAAAGAGATGACCAACGTTAGCTTACTCAGTATTACTTCCGAGTTCATTAGGTCTGATTTCAATTTGAACTTGTGTGTACGTGTGTATGAAGGAGCCTTTTACGTGTGTGTGTGTGTGTGTGTGTGTGTGTGTGTGTGTGTGTGTGAATCCTGGGGCTTGAACTCAGAGCCTGGGCTTTTTTTTTTTTTTTTTGCTCAAAGCTTATGTCCTACACCACTTGGCTCACAGCTCCATTTTCAATGTTTTTTGGTGGTTGATTAGAGATAAGAGTCTCAAGAAGTTTTCTGCTCAGGTTGGCTTCCATTTACAATCCTCAGATTTCAGCCTCACTGGTACCTAGTGCCATTTACTTGGCATATGATGTGGATGTGGATGATATAAACATCCCATTTTCCTTCTTTTCATTTTCTTTTTACCTCTTCTAGGTAACATGGAATGTGAAGAATCGCAAAAAATGTGCAAGCACTTCTAGTACAAGTGATGAGAGCAGTTCAGAAACTCCCAAGAAGGAAGAATGTGTTTCTTTCGTTAAATTAGTTTTGTTTATCAAAAGAATGAAGTGAGCTTTCCACACTTAGCAGCCTCTAACAGGTGGGTTCTTCAGATTACTTTTTCTTTTTTATTTTCTTTTTTGCCGATTGTGGGACCTGAACTCTGGGCCTGGGCACTGTCCCTCAGCTCTTCAGCTCAAGGCTAGCGCTCTACCACTTGAGCCACAGCTCTACTTATGGCTTTTTCTGTTTATGTGGTGCTGAGGAATCAAACCCAGGGCCTCGTGCAAGCACTCTACCACTGAGCCACCTTCCCAGCCCTCAGATTTCTTTTTCACATATCAAGCCTTTGAAGAGTCTTTTCTAGTCAGGGGTCTGAATTAGGCCTAGTGGATTTTAGAGGAAACAGAGACAAGACCAGAAGCCTGAGCCAGGTGGGCCACAGTGCTCATGGGTTGCAAAACGTGACTGGAAAGGAGTATGGAAGCATCCATAACTACAATTAACAGGGACTTGGTAAAATCTGAATAGAACCCCACAGAACATGCTTAATTTAGTTTCTTTTTAATGGCGCTGCTTCCAGTAAGAGTTTCTGAGAAATGCATGATTCAGGGTTACTGATCTATCTAGACTATACACAGCACCTTAACTGAAGGATTGTAATTCCTGCTAATTAAAGTGTCTTGTGAAAGATCATTATGACATTTCTATGAGGGAATGCCTTTGAATTACCTTTTGTGTTGTTTATTACATAAATGCACTTGAGTACCTGCCATATTCAGGGTATAATGCTAAGCCAGTCTGATGCGAGGCACCTACAGTGACTCTTGGATTTTGCAAGTGTGTATAATGGGAACAAACATTGTCTTCATTCAAGGCTGGCTATTCTTTAGTTTTCTGACTCTGAGAAGCACACTGACACTCAGAGGTTGAGTCAGATGCCCTTCAACATTTCCTTTACTCCAATATTCTATGATGAGAGACTTGGAAAGACTAGGCCTTTCTATCATTTGCAGAACAAGAACGTATAGTGCCTGTTTTTAAAGATCTGTATGCAAAGCTAGTAGGAAGAGGAAAAATCAGATTCCTTTTGATAGGATACATGCAAATTTTTAAATTTAGGAGGCTGTTGTATTTATTTACGCATTTGTGCTTTGTTCTGTGAGCATTTGCAACAAATAATGTGGTGTTCAAATACCTCTGAAGAGCGGTTAATTTTTTTTTCTAGTGAGACACTTGGTTTCTGAGCTAGACTACACTATCCTTTTCTTGTTGTTGAAAGAAAGAATAAAATATAAACTTCTCTCTAAATCACCCAAATGTCAGCCATTAATAAAAAGTGTGCTAATAAAAACAAACCGATGTCAGAAGCTGTGTCAGTTCAGGTCCATTTTCTGGCTGTATGTGGTTAGATTGTATTAGCGATCTCAAAGGTTTATGTGCCCTGAGTTGACTTGGATGCCCTGGCTTACCTGAGGAGCCGGAGTTCTGCCAGCAGGGTGGGGTTCTGCTGTGCCTTCTCTGGCGTCGGTTGAGAGGCTTGTTCATGCTCTAGCCGCAGTCTCTGGATCTCCTGTAAGATTTCTCTTGGGAGAGAAGAGGAAGGCGAGAAATCGCAGCCAGCTAACTTTCAGGATACTAACATGTGGACCAACAAGGCCCAGCAGGACCAAGGGAAAAGGGATCATCCTATGTTTGGAAGCACAGCTGACCTTTACTAAGCAACGACCTCTGAGCTTCTGAGGCTGTGACTGAAGCTGGCTGGATGCTGTGGGTGAGGAGAGGATGATCTCATCTCCAGCATGTCTATGCCATGAAGGCTCTGAGTGTGCCACTGAGTTATACCCAGCACCCACCATCGTTCCAGGAAGTCATGTGGTGCCGTGGTCCTGTGTCTAACTTTGATGAGTGCTCTGCTTGTGAGACAAAAATGCATCTTCACATTATTTATGACCACTCTCTGACACCAAAAAGGACTCACAGCTACTGAGAGGTGCTTGAAGGGAAAATAAGGATAAATGGTGTCCATATGAGGAAACTAAATAACCTCATTTTCTCTCACCAAGAATAAAATTCTTCTCACTGAGTAAGAAACCCAAGGTTGGCAGATTTCTTTCTTTTTCTTTCTTTCTTTCTTTTTTTTAAACTTAACATCTTCTGCTTTAACAATGGATCTCAGCAAGGGCAGCCTTGGAAGTGTTTTTAAAAGGATTCACTGTAATTGAGTGTGTGTGACATCAAATGCTATTGGGGTGAGACATGTCAGCCTGTTATTGATGTTTGGGCCTGGGCTGCCCTGCATTTGGGTGAGCATTAGGCTAGCCATGAATGATATGCGACTAGCTAAAGGCAAATGATCCCTAAGTGAATCAGAAGCCATTAAGCAAGGTTACAAGTCACATCTTCTTGGGGGCTGGTGAACATTATTCTGCTACCTCATACAAAGCACAAAGCCAGTGAGACAGAGCAAACTGCTGAGAAAGGACGTTAAGCTTGGTGAACCTGGAGGATGGCTTTCTGTGCTTTTAAAAGACATTTTAATTGAAACAATAGTTGTACACATGGGGTATGACATGATCATCTGACACTCGTGTACAAACAAATCAGAGTAATTAGCATTTCTTTGAGTTGGAGACTTTTAAACCAATCTTTGATTGGGCACCAAAATACTTATTAGTAAGGGATACATTTAGTGTTCTACAGCAAAAGAGTATGGCTTTTTTTTTTAAATGTGTGTCAATCCTGGGGCTTGAACTCAGGATCTGGCTGCTTTCCCTGGGCTCTTTTGCTCAAGGCTTGTGCTCTCCCACTTGAGCTGCAGATCCATTTCTGGCTTTTTGGTAGTTTATTAAGGCAAGAGTCTCATAGACTTCCTGCCCAGGCTAGCTTTGAAACTCAATCCTCAGATTTTAGCCTCCTGAGTAACTAAGATTACAGGTCTAAGGCACTGGCACTTGGCTAAGGAGTAAAACTATTTTATAACAAATTATTACATATCTCAAAATAACCAAAAGAGAATAACTTTTTTGTTTTTACAGTGGACAGGTTGATTTACAGCTGCCTGTTTTATGAACACATAAGAATCAAGAGGTTAATTACCAGTAGGTCATTATACATGTCACAATTATAGTGAGAATACTGGACAATAGTTCAGTGATTTTTTTAATTTCGTCTTTGTCTCCATTGTTGTCTCAAGGTAGAAGTTTTTCTTTAAAAAAGCTCTTCCATAGATATCTATATTCCATGTTGGACAATTCAGAGGGAGCTGCTGAGGTTTGAGACGGGCTGAGTTTCTGCTTGGTAGCCCTCCTCTTTTTAAAGGTCCCCAGGATCCCATAAAGCTCAGCCTGAAAAAAATCAGTAAACTGAGACTTCCAAGATCTCCTTTAGTGTTTATATACTGGTTTCTATGCTTCTGGCCAGTTTTCCTTTGTAGATTCCAAGAACAAAAACATGACTGAGCCATCATGGAAAAATAGAAAAGAAAGAAGCAGTTTTGATGAAAATAAATGAACTGATATGTAACATACATGGTCAAAATAGTGCTGTCTTTAAAAAATTTTATTTTATTTAATCCTATTACAGATACATGATACGTGTATTATTTCTGGCTCATGGATGAGGAAATCAAGTCATGGACCAATTGGAAGACTTGCTTAAGTTCAACAAGTAGGTGGTAAAGGTGACTTGAACTAAAGCTAGATAGCTCTAATCCTGTGTCTCAGACAATCTCATTTCTAGTACATGCTTTGACTGGTGAAGCCTATGCAGGCAATGACGAATACAGTTCAATTTGAAGAGTCCTGTGACCCCTTCATACTAACTCCAACTGGTGCCTCCAAAGGTGCTATAAGGAAGCATTCTCTTTGAAAGATTATCTCTGACATTTATGATAGTTTAGATCTGGGGTATCCCACACAGGCCCGTAGATTAAAAGACTGATCTTCAGCCTGTGGCATTGCTGAGAAGTGATGGGAACTTTAGAAAATGAGGCCTTGTGTAAGGAGGTTAGGTAGATAGAAGCATGTTCTTAAAGAGACACAGACACCAGTCTCCTTTGTCTCTGTTTCTGTCTCTGTCTCTGTCTGTCTGTCTCTCTCTCTCCCTATTTCCTGGATGTCATGCGGTGACTAGACTCTCACTACAGGCTTCTTCTTCGACCTATTACTTTACCATATGCCAAAAAAACAATGGCGTCAAATGACCATGAATGGAAAAACTTTTGAAAGCATGGGCCAAAATAAACATTTCTTTTTTTTTAAAGTTAGTTTTCTCAAGTATTTTTGTTACAGTGACGGACAGGCTGACCAACACACATGTTCATGAATTACCTATAGTAAACACAATTGTGAAATAAAGTAAGGAATTCTATTTTTCTTTTTGTTGCAGAGATCTGTCTAGTGGACTAATTGTCACTATGGAGACCATTGGACCCCTGACTCAGACAAGCATCTGGGAAGCCCTAGGGTCTTTGTGGAGTGTGAGGTTAGGCTGCTGACTTAGAAGGAGTTTAGGATATATCAGTTGGTTCTCAGGGGTGGGGAGGAAAACTCTAGGAGTTATAAAAGAACTCAGGAGCAGGATAAAACTCTTTCTGTTTTCTTTCTTTTTTTTTCTCTCTGGTTCTATAAGCATGCTTTCAGAGAGAGAGCAATACAAAAAGTCCAGAAAATGAGCAGTAAAAAAGACATCAAGGCGTAGCCAGATCATTTAAACATTCATGGCAATCCCTGATAATTTTTGAATGGTATAGAGCCTCTCATGGTGGTAGGTCTCCCTGAAGTATTTCTTTAAAGGAAGCCTCAGTTTCTCCTTCAGTGTGTTATCCCAATATCTCATTGGATGCAGAAGACAGCTCTGGAGAGGTAGAGGAACAGGTAAACCAGGGACCAGAAAGTCCACGTGATTCTTCACATGGTTGACTTTAAACATTCACACTGGCTGGTTCACAGACACGATTTCTTCATTGCTTTTTGCTCACATCTGACTCTCTCGCTCCCCTGACTGCTCTCCTACTACTCTGTAATTAGCATGTCTCATTTAACATTATCTTCTTTTCTCAATGTTTTTTTTCTCTGAATCAGCACGATTATTTTCACACAGTAAGCATAGTCAGTGTTATATGAAATAGAATAATTCACAGACTGGCAACTACCTTGCACAAATTCTGATATAGTTGGCTATGCTATCCTGAGTTTCTAACAGACATAATCCCATCCCTTAGTCCCTTTTCTCTAAAACATGTTGTGATCACAAATTACCAAAATGAAGTCCAAAGACAGGATCAATAGCATGCAACTACAGCCTCCAGGTGGCAGACATAAGAAACTCTAGACCTTTACTTTTCTAATTATTCATCATACATATTTTTTCGTTCTTTTAAATGCTTGCTTCCTATTACTTGGCAAATTAAGAGGGGTTACATATGACCCACTTCTTTGGAGAAGTCAGCAGGTAGTAGTAGTCTCAAAGGCTATGAAGCCATAAAATCACTTTTATGAAGCTATTTCCATTCAAATTTGGGTCCTCCTAATGATGAAAGCCAGGTCCTGGGACAATTAAGGGGGAGATATTTTTCTTTACTAGAAAATTTTTATTTACAGAAGTTAAACAATGCCTTGATCTTTGATCCCCAAAATATCAGGCCTTATGTTATTACATCTTCCTCTTCTTTGTCTTTCTGTAACTTCCATGCTGATATTAGTGTTTCAGAACAGCATTTCAAAATGGGATTAGGCATGAAGACATTCAAAGCAGTACAGAATGTGCAACTCATTTCATTGCTCACTCAGCACTGGATTTGATATCTGAGTCAGCTATTTGCCATTTTTAAGTCAGCATATATTTACTGAGCATCTATACCAGGCAGGGATCTCTAGTCTCAGGATATTTGGTATGGCCTTGGTTCTCAAAGAACTTCTATTTCCATCAGGGAAGTCAGAGGACATGCAAGGAGCAAACATATACATGTGATTATTTTAGCAGTGACAAGTGGAACAGTGCTTGCTGAGGAAGGAAGCAGTGGAGACAAATAGGGAGGTTGGATGCAGGAAAGGACAGATGAATTGAGCCCTGGATAAGGGGATGTCCTGCAGCCTATAGAAAGGGCTTTCTAGGCTGAAGACCAAAAGAAGCTGAGCAAGGCTAGAATATGATGTACAAGGAGAACTGAGCTTAGAAAAACAGCTGTGGGAGGGCCTTGAAGACCATAATTGGATTAGGTTTTAATCAAAGTGGGATGGAAAAATCATTGGAGGGCTTTCCTGAGAATAACAGGATATACGTTTTCTAAATAAATACTTATTTTGACAATAGCATAATTTGAACTCAAGTCCTCTACCATTTGAACCAAGCTCCCAGCCCTTTTTGCTTTGTTATTTTTCAAATAGGATCTTATATTTCTGCATGGGTTGGCTTGGACCATGATCGTCCCAGTTATGCTTCCCACCTAGCTGGCAAGACAGTTAAATACCATCACTTCCAGCTTTATGGTTGAGATGTGATCTTATGAGCGTTTGCTTGGGCTGTCCTCAAACTATGGTCCTGCAAATTTCCACATCCTGAATATCTAGGATTATAGGAATGAAGCACCATTCTAAGCCATGATACATGTTTTTTTTTTAACAAGAGGTTAGATTGAGTGTTGGTGGTAATGGGAAGTTTGGGGATGTATCATGAAGATAGAAATTGACAGAAAGAGAAAGGACTGTCAGATGAAGTGGACATAAAGATATTTGGTCTGAACCACTGGGTGATGATGGTGTGCACAGAAAAAGAAACAGCAAGTGAAAGAGTTTTTCCTATGATGCTTTTGTAGATCAGCTTATTTGTGTATTTTTTTATAGACCAGCTTTTCCAAGGACAGTAGTCAACAACTCAAAATATAATCCTTTAAACAGACATACAAGAAAGCCTCTAAGACTTTAAGACATAGATTATTAATGAGAATATATATTGATCAAAAAGCCAACATATTTACAAAGCCTTACCTGTTCTTATTTTCTAGTTCTGCAATCAGCTGCCTTTGTTGCTTATTTGCATCAATGGTGAAGGAGATGTCAGGAGCGCCTCTCTGCTGTGTTGGTTGCTGTAAAATAAGTTGTGCACACAGTTAATATTTGGGAATGTACATCCACAGATGTTTAGGAAGGCAACAGTCATGGGATATGCAGACAAGGAAGAGGAAACTTTCTAGCTAAACAAAAAACTGGTAAATACATACAACGAATTAACTCTTCTTTCACCAAGAACCAGCTTTTCTGCAGATCTAGAACTTATCCTTGCAATGGAGAGCAGAACAGAACTTTGGCAGCAAATACACAAAGGAAGAAAGATTGTTTCTTGAACCTTCCCCACCTGAAGTCTCTGGGAAACTGTTGTACTCTTACAATGCTCCTTCCTGCATTTGCTCTCTCAGTATAAGTAGGTTTATGAATGTGTTACTGTTGACACAACTCTTTCTCTAGAATTACTGTTCATTCATTTTTGTCATTTTGTCACTCAAATGTCCACAAAAGGATTGTGTTGTTTCCAATACAAAGAAAAGATAAATGTTTGAATTGATAGATATGTTAATTACCCTGATAGGCTCTTTATATCCTAAATGTATGCCAAAATAGTGTACTGTGCCCTAAATCTATGCATAATTATATTTCAATTGAAAATATAAGGTGTGGCTCAAGTGGTACAGCACCAGCCTTGAGGGGGAAAAACTAAATGAGCTCATGAAGTCCTGAGTTCAAGCACTGGCATTGGCACACATGAAAATATGTTCACTGAACTCATTGACTATTTCCTTGTTTTATAGGAAATATTTCAGACTCAAGTTTTGAACTTGAAGGTATATGATTGTTCTCATTCGAGTGAAATTCCTTAACTGCTAGGCTAACTCAAATATATCAGTATATTCATTCTTCTATTCAATACATTTTTATTCCATACTTACTACATATCAAATATTGGGGCAAATGTCTCTTGTCCTCAATGGATATATGTATATATTATATACATAATGTATCAGGAATATATATTATATTATATAAGGTATGTGCACGGTTCAACAGTAACACAAAGGAAACATGGCTGCATTATTAAGATGACCACTGAGCTGACCTATTGAGAGTAGATGAGCGAACTCCGGGGTTCTTTGTGTTGTATTTAGAATTGGCTGGACCACAGGACATAGAATGATGAGAGGTGGTAAGGCAGAATGTTCTTTGAAATGCAATGATCCAACAGAAGAATATGGGGAGGGAAGATGTGGGAGTTTCCATTAGAAGATAGAGAAATGAACCCAAAGAAATAGCTTCCTATCTCTTTGTAACTGGGATTGCAGCTTAATAATTATGATTCATTTAGCAAATTGTACTATTGTTCAAACATGATCATGGAGAGGTTGATAAGGGGAAAAATAATGCAAATGGTAACTTTCTTGTGGCAGATCAAAAATGTTTATACATGATAGCAATAGACCAAGAATGAAACTAACTGATGTTCTCAAGGAAACAAGATCCAAAGACTGGAGAAGTTAGTGCATATACAAATAATTATAAGCACATAGAGAATTAGCACTCTGCAGAGAACCACTAATTCAAATGTCCAATGAGACTAGGGAGATAAAGTAAACGAAGCAGGGGACCAAGTCAAGGGTAAATGGTGAATGCTTTCCCTGTGCAGAGTAGGGTAAAGAATGCTTCTTCAGCTTCATATTACCATGAAGAATGTAGAAAGATCATGTTTGTCTTTCATGATAAAACTAAAAAACCCAGAATTTTAAAATAAACAATCTGAGTTGTCCACAATGATAGATAATAAAAACTGAGTCGACTGGGGGAGCCAGACACATTTCTGAGAAATGAATTTTATCTGTGGGGTGTCATTTGGGGGGACTACTGTAAGTCTTTGCTACCTTTTTTATAACTTATTTTCTCATTTGACTCTAATACAAGGTAGCACTGCCATGTATAATAATTAGAGGTAGACCTATGTACAGTTAAGGAAACAGCTTTATGGCAGATTACAGAGAGCTGGGACTCAGGTTCCCTTGGCCACATGGCTAGTCCCATATGTTAATGGCATCATGCCCTCTGTCTACAGAGATGTGTGCATGGACAGTAACATAACTAGTTTTGCTTTACCCTTCAAGTCTGTCATTTTCCAATTGGGAATCCACTGCCATGATGTCATGAATATGGCAACAAACAAATCAACAAGAGATTCATGCTAATTAGTTTGGTTATGGGCACCAACCATAGTGATATAATGGACATGACACAGGAAAGTCGAGGATTCCAGATGCCAACAGATATGTCCTTTTTACTCTAGCTACTTACAGAGGAGGAGGATTCTGCTGCCAGTCTTGCTGCGTACCTGGCGATCAGCCTGTGTTCTTCATCAAGTCGGTTTGAACTCTCAAGCATACTAGCAAAGAAGAGGAAGAAGGAAAGCGTTAAGCACATTCCTGAGAAAAACTGATGAATTCCTATCCCCATCAGTGGGATTGGTATTTCAATTTTTCAATGCTCCAAACTTGCGAGCTGTGCAAAATTCTGTTAGGTTAATGATCTCCAATTTGGATTCATGACATGATCTAATATGTAATTAGGAAGGTCAATAATAAAGCCTGGGTTCATCCAATTCAATCATCTTACTAAGAAAGCTCTAAAGAGAATTGTCCTTTTGAATCGATGTTTCCTTTTTTATTTTATTTTTGAATTATGTATTTGTCCTATGAGGGGATTTATTATAATATCAATGTATATCGTTCCCTTCATCATAGTTTGATTCTTGTGTTCCTTCCTCCTCCCTTTCAAACTGTTGGGTGGGTTTCTGATTCATTTCTGTCACAAGAGTACTTTCTTTTGCATTTTATTGCTGTTATAAAGTAATACCCAACACTGACAAGGCTAGAAATTACTGAAGCGAGAAGAGAAGAAAAACAATTGTAGTTAGCTTCCAGTGATCTCTAGGTGCTGGTGTTCACATTCTTATGCAATTTCCTCTCATTCGGTATGGGCTGTGTTTACTGATTTTCTTCTATGGATGGGGAGGAAATGGAACATCAAGTGCACAAATTGGATTTAAAAGGCCATGGTTTTCACTTGAGCTTTCTCTTGAGGTCTCTTGGGTTGCCTGTCCTGTGGAAGGCTAGCTGCCATACATAAATCAGACCTGTGTGAGAGAGGCCTGGGTTATGAGAAACCCATACCAGCAAGAGAAACAGCAATAAATCCCTACTGGTAACACTCTCCAATGAGATCAGAGGCCAGCTGGAGAGCTGGACTCTAGCTGCATGGAAGTCTTTGAGACAGAAGCACCTCACTAAATCAAACCTAGAATTCTCAAGAAACTGTGAGATAATAACTGCTCGTTGTTTTAAGATGTTAAGATTTGGAGTACTGTACTATGCTGCCTTAGGTAGCTAGTAGAATTACTATTTGTAATTATTCTAGTGTAACCTGCCTTTTATATTTACTTCCGATGAAGTAGACTTCTAATTTGCTCCCAACAGCACTAATGGTAATTGTTTACTGGCTCCTATACATTTATTGAAATAGTTTATTTCTATAAATTACTGATTCTAGCACCTCAAAATTAATAGAAGGAGAAGTACTATTAACTCTCCTATAATTCAGAAAAACCTTAGCTTCTGAACCCCTTCATTCAAGATTAAGTTGTGTGTGACATTTTAAAAAGCTTTATGAACTACACCAATAATGTTAATTTTATTAACAGAATAATTGGTCTTAGTTTGTCTTATCAGTTACGATATATTTAAGGTCAATGAAAATGAAAAAAAAAACGAATTCATCTCCTTCCAAACATACTTGTATTCTTATTCGTTTCTAAAGGGAACAAAATAATAGTGATACATTAAAAAGATCCATTCCTAAGTCAACATTAAGGTTGTAAGAAGGGTCCATTGTGAAGACTCAGATCCATATAAGTTAATATACAATTATTTATATATACCTACATTTAAACATCCAGCAGTCTTTTAACCTTTGTTCCAAAGTGTGTGCTCTGGCATGTTGGGTCAGCCGCTTCCTAGCAGTTCTTAACTGTTAGGCTGAGTCCATCACCGTACCCATTTTCCTGGTCATTCTGAAGATTTTCTTGTCTGTCTCATCTCTCTGTTCCCTTCCACACTCCTCATGCAAACTACACCTATTTTAATCTTAGTACTTACATTTTAATCTGAGTGCTTACATTCAATTTTAGGCTTTTTCTCTAGGCTATAGTAAATGGCTAGAATATCCATGAGCTTCTCTGTTTATTAAGTTAGAGCTCTATGCTCAGGTTTCTTTTGCCTTCGATACAACGGCGACAATACATGTAAAAAGCATTTGGTGGCACAATGCCCAAGACATGGTAAGCACTCAAAAATGTTAGTATAATAATATTATTTTGCCTTCTATAGTAACTCATCCAGGTCCATGGACAATCATGGCTTCTTTCACAATGTCACCTACTATCTAAAATGTATGATGTAGTGCTTCACGAGCATTAGCGTAAAAGAATAGTGATCTTGTGACAAGGCAGATTCTGAGTTCTATAATGGGATGATGGGGGTTGGGGGTGGGCTGGGGCCCGAGAATCTGTATTTCTGATAAGTTTCTAATATGATATGCTGGTCCACGAAGATCCTGGAGTTGCAAGCATCCAGAATATTTTGGAAAATAAAATAGAAAACTCAACATAGGAAATAAAACACACATCTAAAGCATGTAGAAGAGACCAGAAATTCTAGGTGTTATAAGGCCTATATAAAGTGGAATATTAACCCCAAAGGATATTGAGGCTTAAATCAGTACACAAGTTCAAAAATAATTTTCATAGTAAAAGACAATTATTTCTGGAAACAAAACCACCCTGATGTTTTAAGCAGATATTTGTCTTTACAAAACAATGTCTATGCAGTGGTACTCCAGTTTCTTATTAGAAATTCAATAAGAGAAATGTATACTGTCTTTGCTTTGACCAGATGACTATCCTATTAAGAAACCATTTGGTTTTATTTTAACATGTTATCATCCCTAAGTGGCATATGAGAGATGAAATGCCAATTCAACACAGTTTATGCAGGTAACAGTTCCCGGATGCTCCAAGCTCAGGCTGACGATCTGTTTGATGCTTGAAAGTGGTTTTTGTCAGAAACACTTGTGTTTTGATAAATAAATAATAATAAAACCCTGAATGATAAAAGCATCTTTTATCACTGGCAAGCATGAATAATACGAAGGTTATATAAAAAGGCTTCCTAGCGATGTAAGAAGTGAAGAAAGGGGAACCTGTCTGGTAAGTGATCAGTCATATCCCATAGTTTTTCTTCCAACACTGTGTGAACTGGGGCAGGGTGAGCTATTACCTTTGTGTAGGCAAACCATTTATGAGGGCACATGTGCTTTGTCAGTGCACTGAAATTATACAAAGGTAAATGATGCATTATTCTGATGAATCCCATTGTTTCAAGACTTCAATTACAAAGTGTTGAAAATGACTGGCCAATAATCCTTAAATTCTTAAATCATGAAAATAAATACCAATCTCAGTACCCTCTCCAGCTTTAGCTATTTATTTCAGGATTTCATAATTGCTAATCTTGCTATAAGACCATAATGAATCAAAACAGGTTGCTATGCTCACTGCACTTCAGAATGGAGAAATATTTTATTTTGAATGCTCCCACTTTCTATCTTAAACACATGGATAGTGTCTATTGCTAGTGATTTCAAATGGCATCCTAGGACACTCAAGTGATCCCTGCCAAGGGCTTACTAAATTGTGATTTAGCAAAGATTTTTGGGAACTTAGAGACTCCATTGTTTTCTTTCTTTCTTTCTTTCTTTCTTTCTTTCTTTCTTTCTTTTTTTCTTCCTTTCTTTCTTTCTTCCTTTCTTTCTTCCTTTCTTCCTTCCTTCCTTCCTTCATTTTTTGTTTTTGTTTTTGGGAGGTCCGGTCATGGGGCCTGAACTCTAGGCCTGGGTGCTGTCCCTCAGCTCTTCAGCTCAGGCTAGCACT